TTTTTTTTTGGGCACTGGGGATCGAACTTGGGACCTTGTGCTTGTGAGGCAGGCAGCGGGACCACTGAGCTAAATCCCTGGCCCCACAAATCCATAATCTAAAGCAGAGCACTTGAAGACCAGAATCTATTCATAGTCACCATTGTTAAATTACTAGTAACCATAACCAATCAATATATTAACAAAAACTGATTAAGGGTTTAATGTTTTTCTTAATACAGTTGTGCTACAGACACAAAATGGAAGGAAAAGTTTAGGTCTAAAGAAAGTTTTAAATGATGATAAGCAATAAAGACTGTAGTTGTTTTGCATAAGCTGTGCTATAAAAGTAGAGGTAAAAAATATGCCATCAAAAAAGGAAAACTTAGTTCCTTTCTAAAATTATTAACATGTTCACAGTCTATGACTTCATCATCTGGCCTGTATTTTATGTATACATATGTATATGTATACGTATATGTATGGTTTCTACAAATTGTGCTAATTTTTCTCTAATTTCTTAATAACATCTTGCTATTGATTTATTTCTCTTTTGTGGATCCTGAAATGTCTCTTAAGATATCTTCATGATAATTCTCACATTTATTTGCTTACATGGATTTAAAGATAACCTAACTATGGTTGAAGGGAGACTGTGTATGTGATTTAGGAAATGTAACTCCTGGAGTATGTTTTGTTTGTTTGTTTGTTTTGGTACTGGGGATCGAGTATGTTTTTGAAGTATTACAACTGAATTTAAGTTTTAAGATTAGTATTTAAATTCACTTGTTTAAAATAGTTGCCTGAAGTATTTTTCTATCACCTAATTTAAAGATCCTTTAATGTCTAATTTTAGCTATTATACTTTTTAGAATTTCACATTTCTGATCAGCATATTAATTTTCCTACTGAGCCCAGGCCAGTTACTTGGTTTGGTTTATTTTTCTTCATACGTAAAAGTAGGAGTAGAAATGAATAAGAAATGATACTTATTTAAAGCTATAAAGCATTTCTGCCTGAGCTACATATTTATCTTTGTTTTGGTATTACTTTATTATGGGTAATAAGGAACATTTCCTAGATATTACATGTTTTGAAAAACTTTTTTAATGAGGAACTATTTTCAAAGCTTACTTCCTATGAGTAGAAGGCAAATGATATTTCCATATATTTCCTAAGTACCAGAATCTTTTTTGTCTAACCCTAAGGTGAAAAAATTCAAATTATTTAATTGTATCTTTGCAATCACTGTTTTTTTCTTAATGATAATCAGTTTTTTCCAATACACTTTTAAATGTGTTTTCTGGGTTTTTTTCCTGTTTATAAAACCTTAGGAGATGTATCCTTAAGTTCACTCTTCTTTTGAAGCTCAGCTTGAGAAATTGTTAGATTTTCATTATTACTTACTTTAGTGTTGTTCTTCATTTACTTTATTCTTTATTTGCTTTTTTTTTAAATATTACTAAATTTTTGCTTTGTGTCCAACAGAGCTTTTTAATTAGTTTGCTGCAGTGGGTTGCTTTTGTGAAATTCTGCTATAAATGTATTTTTAAAAATTGTTTTACTACTAAAAGATCAGTTATTCTAGTTCCTGTTGCTAATTCTACTGACTAAATTTAAACAATTAGACTAGTGTAGCTTTTAGTCAAA